AGAACTGAAGAAGAGGGAAGGCCAGGTGGTGGGGGGCACCTGCTGGCGGGGCCAGGCCTTCCCAGAGGGGCCTTACCAGCCTTACTGCTCCCAGAACCCAATTGTGAGCATAAGACACACCCTGGCCTGGGGACAAAGCCTGGTATCCAAGGGACATGGGATGAGCCTAGCCAGAGCCCCCAAGAACTCTTGGTTCTCCTGAACCAATAGGAATCCCAGTCAGCACAAGGTTCTGCCTTCCCCGGCCCCACCACCACCTCCCTGGCCTTCCCCCGTGTGGAGAGACTTTAGTGACCTCACTACTGTGGGACCCTTTGACTCGGTCCAGCCAGAACAGAAATTGCTTCCCCTAAATCCCCTCGGAGAGTATATACCAGACCCTTCTCCTGTGCTCCAGGCACTGCTGGGTTGTGCTGGTTCCTGGAATAGGCCATTGCCCTTCCCCAGGTGAGCATGTGATTTTTCCCTTAGCTGGGGCAGATCACACCCCAGTACCCCCGTCCACCTTACACTCTCCTATATAACCCCTTAGTGCCTGCCAAATTAAGAATTGTTAACCTCTCTCTTTGGCCTCAGCCCTGGGAAATTTTATGTAACACTCTGGATCATACTGTCCATAACGCTGGGTCCTGCAGAGGCAGCACTTCGCAGCCAGCAACTTTCCCATTAGAGAGGTTAGAAACCCATCCTGGAGTTGGAGAGGAAGGGGCCTCAGCCAGCATGCAGAAAAAATGGTTGTCAGGGTAAGAAAAGGCCTTTACCTCACAGGCCCCAATCATGAGAACAAAACTAGGTACTGCTTTTCTCTGTGAAAAGATGCTGGGGGTTCTCTCTGGAGCACACCCACACCTTTCCCTCTCAGGCTTGCATCTTTCCTTTTCTCTCCTAAACTCAAAGGGTCTCCACGAGGCTTGCAACCAGGAGAACAAACGGGCAGCAGCAGCTCGTTACACGTTAACCCCCTGAACCTGTCCCCAAGACCCCCTTTTCTCTGACTTTCCAGTGAGCTGACAGCAGCCCCGCCTTGACTCACTCCTTTCCTATATCATTTCTAGGGAGCCAGAGCAGAGCCCCCCTAGGCGTGCTCCTGTTGCTTCTTCTACCATAAAAAAAAAAAAAAAAAGTTTCCAGATACAATAGTAAAATTACATAAGAGAAGAAAGAAGTTTACATTTTCAGTCATCCTCAATCACTTTCCAGATCTGAAATCCATGCCCTCAACAACCCAGACCGGAGAATGGACTTCTGTCAGTGGAGGAGTGGCCAATAGCCCCCCGGGTAAAGGCTCTGGCTGGATGCTCCCTCATCCACTGCCCAGCTTCTAGAGATTACCCAGTCCATTCCCAAACCCAAGTGCAGTGGGTTGGATGGTGGCTCCCAAAAGATAAGTGTACCCAAAACCTCAGAATGTGAACTTATTTGAAATAAGTAAGGTAAAGATTTTGAGATAAGGTCATCCTGGATTAGGGTGGGCCCTAAATCCAGTGAGTGTCCTTGTAAGAGAATGGAGAGGGATATTTGGTCACAGAGACACACAGAGGAGACAGCCAGGTGAAGATGGAGGCAATCTGGAGTGAGGTGGCCACAAGCCCGGGAATGCCTGGAACCCCCAGGAAGCAATGATGAGGGAGCCTCCTATGGGCTTTGAGGGAGTTGACACCTTTATTTTATTATAATTATTATTTTTTTATCCTCACCTGAGGACATTTTTTCATTGCTTTTAGAGAGAGAGGAAGGGGGGAGAGAAAGAGAAACACACCAATGTGAGAGAGGTACATGTATTGATTGTCTTCTTATGAGTGTCTCATTGAACTCACGACCTTTTGGTCTACAGGATGATGCCTCCACCAACTGAGCCACACCAACCAGGGCTAACACCTTCATTTTGTATTTCTGGCATCCAGAACTGAGAAAATAAATTTCTGTTATTTTAAGCCACTGAGTTTTAGGGTAATTTGTTACAGCAGACATACCAAGAGGAATGGTAGTGGGTTAGCAAACAGGACGGGAAGCACCCAGGGTATATGGAGGGCCTCGGAGGAAGTGAGGACGTGTGCAGAAGGGGGTTCAGTGAATGGTGGGCATTAGGCCTGGGCTCTGCTGTGGGCTCTGGTTATCCTGGGGCCAGCACTCAGAGTTGCTTGCTCCACAGCCCCCTTTGTGGGTGAGTGTGACTGGGAGGAGGTAGGGAACCTAGCCCAGGAACCTCGCTGTCACCAGGCACTTCCTGAGCACCTCCTGTGCACAGGCCCCAGTACAGGCCGGGAGGTAGAAGTGCAGTGCAGGATGTGCCTCCCTTGAAGGGGGAAGTGAATCTGGGTCTTGGACTGAGGCCTGAAGCCACCAGAGGAAAGTGCAGCAGTGTGGGCACTCCCAGAGTCTGACACACATCCAAGATGTTCCAGAAAGCATGTGTGCTCACATGTGTTCACACAAGTTCATGCATGCACACATTTATACCCTGCAGCAAAGACTGCCACTTAGCCTTATCCAGCTGCATCTGTCTCAGGCTGAGCTTGGTGAGTACTGAGGGCAGATGTTAGTTCACATAATAGCATCCAGCCTAGAGTTAATAGATGTGACAGATAGTTATCAACCTGAGATCGAGTACTATTAAACCAAAATTGTTGCTGGGCATTTGGGCAGTTCCTTAAAGCAGCCCATATGACATGGGGGAAGCAGGCAGATCGGCAGCCTCAGGCTCTTCCCCTCTGAATGCACATGGGGTATAAAGGAAAACTTCTTTTTCTATATTTATGTTTCTGACATCAAATGTGTCATCACCAAGCAATTTTCCAGTTCTCTGTGCTTTTGACAGGCCAGCCATAAACTGGGGTTCCCACAACTGACCTCCTTGGGTTCCATAATTAGAAGGGCTCACAGAACTCAGGGAAATGCTTTACTTATGTTTACTAATTATTACAAAGGATACAACTTGGGAACAGCAGACAGAAGATATGCACAGGGAAGGTGTGGGATGAATGTGGAGCTTCTGTGTCCTCTCCAGGAGCACATTCTCCCAGCACCTCCACGTGTTTACTAACCCAGGTCTCCCAGCTGCTTCATTTAGGGTTTTTATGGAAGTTCCATTACGCAGGATGATTGATTAAGTCATTGGTCATTGGTGATCAGTTCAGACTCCAGCCCCTCACCCTCCAACAAGGTCAGGAGTGGAGCTGAAAGTTCCAACCCTCTAATCACAAGGTGGGTCCCCATGGCAACCAGTCCTCATCCTCCAAGAGTCACCTCAGTGTTATAAACCCAGGGTAGGGCTGAAAGGGGCTTAAAAACAAGTGCCCCTCTCACTTCACCACTCAGGAAATCCCAGGGTTTTAGGAGCTCTATGCCAGGAACTAGAACAAAGACAGAATACATATTTATTATTTGATGATATCACAAGGTGGCCTGTGCCCAGGGAATGCCTGGTGAAGCCAGCAGGAAGCTGGTGCCTCTAAGTGGACTAAGAGTGTTGAGGGGTCTGGGTGGTGAGAGTCGTAGGCAGTGAGACCTCAGATGACCGTCACTGGTTACAGGTGAGGATCAGGGGCAGGGATGTGCATTGAGAGACACCTCTTCCACCCTGAGGCACGGAAAATGGACAGCCCACAAACCAAGAGAAAGTGAGGTAAAAAGCAAGTCAAGATTGTGAAATGGGAAAGAACACTGAAGGAAGTCTAGTGGTCACAACGCAGAATGCCAACGGGTCTTCCTGGAGGGCGGGAGACCCGTTCCCTAAGGGTGACTTTCCCAGGGGTGCTGTCTGGACCGGCAAACCTCTTACCACTCAGTTCCTTCCACGTCTGACCAGATCAACACCAAGGTCCCTGGTCCCACCCTGCACGCCCCGTGGCGGGAAATCCCAGACGAAAGGCTGGGTCAGAGTCTCAGCGCCGTCGGTTACGGGGTCTCACTCGTGAAAATTGCCCATCAGAGATAAGCTAGTCTTGACTTCAGGGCACGGCCCTCAGCCTCCGAAAAAGGGCCTCTCTGAGACACGGGCCCCAAGCTTAAACTGAAGAAGGACACTAGACACAAATCGGCCTCCGATCTGACTTAGGGGGTCGCTGACCCCCTCACAACATCCGCGAACCCCGGGCTAGCGCTGGTCATCTCAGTGTCACAGACAAACCCCGAGAATCACAGATCCCTCTTCGGTCAGGCCAGACCAGTTCCTGCAGGCTGGGACCGCCCCGCCCAACTGCAACCCCGCCCACCTGAAGCTCCGCCCCAACAGGAGTCCCGCCCGGACCCTATGCCCCTGAAAAGCCCTCGGTTGCCATGGTTTCCACAGCGTAGGTCCGAATCTAGCAGGTCCACAAACCGCTTCTCTCATCCCCTCGCCTTTCACTCGAGCTCTGGGCACCCAGGCGACACTGCCACTGCGAGAACTCCTGCTACTGAGGACCCCGTTCAGCCAGCATTCCTATCCTAATTGACGGCTGCGGCATTCGGAGCCCTGCAGCCACCGAGCCGGTGGCGAGGCGCACGCGTTAGGATGTTTCTGAACGCGAGGAGGTTGCATCATAAACTCCTAAGTCTCGCGAGCCACAACTTCGACAACAGGCGCCGCTGGTGTAGTGGTATCATGCAAGATTCCCATTCTTGCGACCCGGGTTCGATTCCCGGGCGGCGCAGTTGTCAGTTTTAGCTTTTTTCCCCCCTCCAATCTCAAAAAAGAACTGTGGGAGACAGCAGAAATTTCGGGATGAGAACACCGGAAACATGGGGGAACCATTCTTGCCGGAGCAGCACTAATGAAACACTTTCAGGATCACTAGAGCATGAAAATGTTAGGACAGCCATGGTGACAGGGTGCTGAGCTGAGGAACATCTACACACCACCGACCCAAGCTCTCCGCCCGGTTCCCTGTTGAAGAGGCAACTCCCGGCGCCCCTCCAGAGCATTGCGCGCCGTTTAAGCCGCTGCATGCGTCCTCCTGGGAACTGTAGTCCGTGGAGGAAAGCTTTGCGACGGTCGGACTACAACTCCCAGCGGGCCTCGCAGCGACCGGGCTATCGCTCCTGCTAGACTAGCTAGCTGCGGGATCATGATGGTAGCAGCGGCCGCCGAGCGGAACAAGGAACCTATCTTGCGAGTGCTGCGGCAGTACGTGGACCCGGCCCAACACGGCATCCGAGTGCTTGAAGTGGCCTCTGGCTCCGGCCAGCACGCGGCCCACTTCGCGCGGGCCTTCCCCTATGCTGAGTGGCAGCCGTCCGACGTGGACCAGCAATGTCTGGACAGGTGCAGGGGAGGGCGGGACCCCGGGTGGTGAAAGGGGGCCCAGTCCCGCTACCCCGGGTCCCCACGCCACTGTGACTGCTGTGAGCAGGGCTGCAGGCGGCGTTAGGAACGGGGTACACAGGCCACTCCCACACACGGGCTCCCCTCCGACAGCATCTCGGCCACCACTCAAGCCCAGGGGCTGTCCAACGTGAAGACTCCGCTGTACCTGGATGTGACCTGGGATTGGAAGCAGTGGGGCGGGATCCTGCCGCAGTCGCTGGACCTGCTGCTCTGCATTAACATGATCCACATCAGCCCCCTGAACTGCACCAAGGTCTGTGGGAGCGTGGGCGAACTACCCAAGGGCCAGCTACCTGCGCCATGCGGCACCCTTCTCCCAGTTTTTGAAGGGGGCCAGGTGCCAGGCTTGCCCCATTTCATAAGGCACTGAAGCCTGGAGAGATCAAGTTGAGACTCCAGCCCCAGACCAGGGCTCTTTTGGAGCTCTGTGGAAAGTTTCTCACCGCCATCTGCCTCTCCTCTCCCTAGGGGCTCTTCAGAGCAGCAGGACACTTGCTCAAACCCAAGGCACTGCTCATCACCTATGGGGTGAGTGTGCCTGCCTCAGATGGAACTCCCCTGGCCGGATGATGCTAGCCAGCCTCAGCTGTCTTTGCCTTTCTGGACTCCCTCCCTCTTGTCAGTATTTTCAGTTGCCTTCTTCCCCACTACCTGTCACCACTGAAACAGGTCCAGACCTTCCCCTCTCCAGCAACCTCCTTGGTCCTGGCTGGTGTGGCTCAGTTGGTTGAGTATTGTCCCGTAGACCAGTCTAGACCCACGCAGCATCAGTTCCTGGTCAGGGCACATGTCAGGAGGCAGCCAATCAATGCTCCCCCCCCCCCCCCCCGACCTTCCTGTCTCTCTGGAATTAAAAAAAAAAAGTCTCCCTGTACCCCCTAGGCTCATGGGAACGGGGAGCAGTGTGTCCTTTTCATCCTCTGGGTGCCAGCCTGTAAGTCTGCCCAGGGGCTGACTAAAGAATGGCTGACCCTGGGGCTGTGGACAGAGCTGTGCCCTGTCTCCACAGCCCTACGCTGTCAATGGGACGATCTCTCCACAGAGTAATGTGGACTTTGACCTGACCCTCAGGAGCAGGTTAGAGCTGGGTGGGTGGGGGGCCTGGCTGGGACAGCAGGTGAGCAGGGTGACCCCTCTTAACTCTACCTCTTTCTCTCCTGTAGGAACCCAGAGTGGGGGCTTCGGGACACAGCCTTCCTGGAGAAGCTGGGACATGCCAGCGGCCTGCTCCTGGAGAGAATGGTAGGTGGGAGGGCGGGGGTCCTGGGTGGCCACCCTGGGCAGCTTCTCCAGCCAAAACATCTCTCCCAGGTGGATATGCCAGCCAACAACAAGTGCCTGATTTTTCGGAAAGAGTAACCCGTCCTTCTCTCACCTGCCTATGTCCCCAGTGAAGTCTCTTCTGGGACAAGGCCAGGGGGCCAACCCCTGCCTCCGTGGCCCAGGCCATGGGGAATGGCCCTGCCCATTTGGGGGGCTGTTGACCACTGTCCACAGGGCTGCTAAGGGCCTGGGAATAAAGCACTTCCTGCTGTCCTATTGCCGGAGTCTACTATGCCTCCTGGGAGCACCCCTGGTGGTGCTAGGTGGGCCTCCATTACTGGGGGCAGGAGGGGTCTGGCCTGTAGGGTGAGGGCTTAGGGACATCCTGGACCATGCGGCTCCACTTGGGCAACAGAAGGAAGAGAGAGGACCCAGGGACTGCTGAAGCAGGACTGAACTGGCTGCATGGCCCTTCTACCACCGGAGTGGCACCCACCTCCAGGCCTGGTCCTGGTTTGTGCTCCTGCAGGGAGACAGGAGGCTCCCCAGGAGGGAACCCCTGGTGATCTTGGACTGCATCCAAAGCCCCAATGTGGTGGCAGGACCCCAGCTGGATTACAGACTGGATGGGGAAAGAAGGGTAACCCTGGGAGGCTCAGCACCAGCAGGCCACAAGTTCCCTCCTTGGAAACGCTTTTATTTGAGGGGACTGGGAGGACTGGACAGCAGGGGCAGGCAGAACTCCAGGCAGGGGGGCTAGTCCTGGAAGCGGTTGAGCAACTCGCAGGCCCTCTTCTCTAGCAGCTCTGAGATCTTCTTGATGCGCTTCTCGCTGGCGATGCGGACATAGCTGCCAGCGTCCAGGACGGCCACACCATCTCGCACTTCACCCATAATGACCAGCGGGCCATCGCCTGCTGTCACATTGGGGCAGGGGCAGGCCCAGTCCATGCCACTCAGTGTCACCTCCAGATACTTGGTGCCTAAGAACCTGAGGCCCATCTTGTCATCCTTGAGCACATCATCTAGAGCCACGCGGGCAATGCTACTGCCACCCACCTCAGACTCCTCTAGCACCTCTGTGAGCCTCCCTACAATGGCAAAGTCACTGCGGCACAGGCTCAACGCCAGCTTGCTCCTGAGTCGGCAGGCTCGGCAGGGCGGCATGCGCGGCACAGGGCAGGCATCCTCGCAGCTCTCTTGGCTCTCGAAGTTGTTGCTGTTGCCTTCACAGCCACCATACATGAAAGGGTGGCACTGTTGCAAAACTGGGCTATAGGCCCAGCGTGGCTCCCAGCCCTGGCAGGGGCCCTGCACAACCGGTAGCACGCAGTTATCCCCGGGTCCACGGGCACAGGCTTGCTGGCATTCTTCATAGGTCTCAAAGCCCTGAGCGTCCCCATCACAGCTGCCAACTGGGAAGGTCATGCAGCCACCCCGCTGTGGGTCAAAGTGCCAGAGGACACGGCTGGAGAGGGGGCCAGTACAGGCCTGTGTGTTGGGCAGGCACTCAGCAGGCGTGCTGGGGGCCCTGTCCCTGGCTGGATCCCGCTGGACCACGGAGAGTGGGAAGTCAGCCCGCAGCAGGCCAGCAGCGTTGCGTGCAGTGCAGGTGTAGAGGCCGGCATCCTCAGGCCGGGCATTGTAAAGCACCAGCTGCCCAATGCTGGTGACCACCACGTTGCCATACATTTGGTCTGGCCGCATGATCAGGTTCTCCCGCTGGTCACTCTGCTTCTCCCAGGTCACGGCAGGTGGCGGACGGCCACTGACATCGCAGTGAAGGCTGGCAGTGCCCCCCACGTACACCACCTGTGGGGAAGGGCTGCTATAGAGGGCAGGTGGCACCGGGGTGTCCCCAGGTGTCGGGCGGGCAGTGGTCTCAGGTGGCCCTGGGCTGCTCGGTGGCCAACTGAGGATGTGTTTGCAGGGCACGACGTGCAGGCGGAGGCCACGCAGGCAGGCCTCCGCATCCATGTAGCAGCGATTGTAGTAGGTGAGGCCATCTGAGGCACAGGTGAAGCTGGGCTCCTTCTCACAGCGGTCACGGCAGCGGCACACAGGCTGCCCGTCCCAGATGTCGCAGTCAGAGCCCTGCTGTGGGCACGAGAAGCCCTCGCACGAGGCCACCAGTGCAGGTGTGGCCAGGCCACCCTCCGGGAATCGGGCAGCCACACAGCTCTGCAGTCCGCACACGTTGGTGCAGCACTTCTCGGTGGCCAAGCAGTCCTGGGGGGTGGGGGGCAGCTCAGCAGGTGCCCAAATGCCCCCCAGCCCCACCCAGGGCTCTGGCTTTGCCAGGTAGGGTGTGCCCCTACTGTGTCTCCTTGAGCCTCAGTTTCCCCTCTGGAAAGCTGAGGTTTGTACAAATTTGCTTTACGTCCAGTGCAATAAGCTACAGCCGCCTCACTGACCGATCCTGTGTCACCTCACTGAGTCCTCCAACCAGCCCCCCCCCCCCAAAAAAGCAGGTTTAATTATTTAATTACTGTTCTCAGTTCAGATGAGAAAACTGAGGCCCAGCATGCTCGAGGCCACTTCAGGGGATGCATGGCCAGGCTATAAAGGTGGAACATCAGGACTGCCTTTCTACCTGGCTAGTCCTGAGATTGAACATATATAAGCTGATGGTGGTATCTGATTAACTCAATTAAAAACAGCATACACATGGAGGGGGGAAAAAAAAGACACTTAGAAACTATTTTTCTTATTAACTAGTAGGGGTCAGCAGGTCTGGAGAGTGATGAGGGCAGACTGGGGGTGTCCCTTGAGACCCTCATAGGAAGCATGGCCTAAAACCCCTGCAGGAGAGGAGGAGGAAGTGCACTCCAAGGGCTGGGGGCAAGGGCGGGGTCTGGGCTTCCCCCAGGTCACTCTAGTTCCCTGGAACCCCCACCCGGGTGGGTGGGTATGGTGCCCACACTCACCTGGTCCCCGACGCACTGGCGCTCACAGGTACTCTGGGCATCCACCCACAGGTTGGGGCTGAGCTGGTTGGGGCACACGCCTAGGTGGCTTCCAGACCCCTGCAGCAGGCTGGCCCCCGAGGTCAGCCCAACCATGAGGAGAAGCGGCAGGAGCAGCCTCTGGGCTGACATGGGGACCACGGGCCCAGGGGGCAGGGGTGTGTGGCTGCCAGCGCTTTAGGCCCCGCTTTGCCCCGATCCCTTCAGGCATCCACCCTTCCAGGCCTGTGGTCAGTGCCCCTGACCTTGGGCCCCTGGCTGATCTTCCGGGCTCCCCTTTGGCCCCCAAGATCTGAGCCCAAAGCAGATGCTCTCAACACCCCTGTACGAAGGGCTGGGTGGGTTCCAAATCTCTCTGAGCTCTGGCTCGACCCCCTTCCCAGCCTGGCCCCTCTCATCAACCCAGGGCACGGGAGTTGGTGGGGGGAGGGGCTGAGGCCCTGGAGCAAGGAGGCACTGGCCACGAGGGTTACTGAGGGGCGGAGAAGGGCCGGCTATGGCCAGAGTGGGGAGGGGAGGGGAGGGGACACTGTAACCGGAGGCCATCCTCCCTCCAGGCCCTGGGCTCAGGGGATCAAAGCAGCCTCACAGACCCTCCCAGCCCGGGTTCAGAACCCGGAAGGAGGGGGAAGGGAGATCAAACACAGGGGCCGCCAGAATCTGCCCTTCCAAACCCTTCCCTGGGGTCTGAGGCCCCAGGAGCATCTGCTTTGAGTCTGGATGGAAAACGTACCCGAGACCCTGTGTCTGACCTTCTGACCCACGAGGCAGTGTAATAAGAGCCTGGTCTGGTCAGAATAAGACCGAGACCCCAGGTGCAGAGGACACCACTGGTCTGCCCTGAGAGGGGCCTCAGACATGGGGGTAGGGGCACTGGGCCAGACTTTGGAGGGGGCTCAAGGCCCAGAACCCTCCCACAAAGCTGTAGCCTGAGGTGTAGTCCCCAGGAGTGGTGGTAACATTCAGTGCAGTTGTGCCCCTATCCCTAATGACCCCCAGGACATCCACCATAGCCCAGGGCCTCACTCCTCACAGCTGAAGTGAGTCTCAGGGCAGCCTACTGCCTGCATTTCTGGCGACATGCTCACCACCCTCTCAGGCAGCAGTGAACTCAGTGGTAAGGCCCTCAGTGAAGGTCCAAGATCCCAGGCTCCAGCCCTTGGGGACAGCAGGGAGCAGGTGGTCCCTCCAGCCATCTGCTTTGTACTGCACAGGGAGGGACGGACTGGGGGAGGGATGCCTGCCTAGCCCACTGAAAAACATGGCTCGCCCTGTAACCAGGGAGGCTGAAGCAGCCACACTTAGTCCTCATGGCCAGGATGTATACGTCACAGGGAATGGACGGATCAACAAAGCCCTGGACCCATCCTGTGAAGTGCAGACCCACCCACCATATCACACCTCCAACCCACCAGCCAGGTTAAAACCAGAGACTTTAATTCACATAAAATGTAGCCTGGAGGTCAGAGCTGAATTACATTTACTGTACAAAGGAAAAAAAATGTCCAAAATGAGCTCAGGAATGGTGCCAGTGTCAGCAGCAAAGGGTAGTGTTTATGTGGTGAACGCAGGAACGTCCACACCCTCAAAATAAAGTCCAGGTTATCTGTTCAAAGTCCAAAGAAAGGGGCTCCGTTGGCAGGACAGGACAGGCGGAGCCTCCTCTGCCTGACCCTGTTGGTGGCCAGGCCTTGGTCAGGGACCCCAGGCACTCCTGTTCACGTGGGCCACAGCCCCCTGCCCAACTTTCCTCCCAGAAGAGCACGTGTAGGGCTCCCCCAAGGCACACCCACCGCAGAGGAGTCCCAGAGTGAGGGGGCCACAGGCCCAGGGAGAGTCCAGCAGGAGGTAGAGTTGAGCACCAGTGTGACCAGCAGCCATGTCACAAGCCAGGCAGGCAGAAGGTGGCCAGGCCTCCAGCTCAGGGCTGGCTGCCGGGGTCAGGAGGTCCACTGCTGCGACTGCTCCAGGTGGCCTAAGAACTGGGTCAGAATGGTTCTGGTGACATGTAACCTCAAAAAGGGGCAGTCCTGGGTGAGGAGCAGCTATGGGGTGACACCCAAGGTCAGGGAACAGAAGCTGGCAAGGCTAGGGCCCAGACAACCAGACGGCAAGAGGGCTGTGATTCAGTCCAAACCTGCAGAGCGCCTGGCAGCCCCTCGAGTATTTATCACCTACGGACAGCTCTGCATCTCTTCACACAGAGAAGCTGAGTCTGTCTCAAGTAGCAACATATGTAAAAGTGACTCCACACAGGGAGGGATGTGGGGTGCACCCCACTTCTCCCAGAAACACTGACACTCTGCTTGGAGTCCGTGGCTCCGCTACACACAGGGACATCACCCAGGAAGCTGCAGCCCCACCGTGCAGACTGCTGAGCCCGCGCCCCCACCACTGTCCAGTACTGTGGCAGGCACACTAGCCACCACGCTCAGAAAGGCCAGCACGGGTCGCAGGGGTCCAAGATGGCTGCCCAAAGCTCCATGTGTCCCCACTGGCCCCTGCATAGCCCACACCCCACGTGAAGTGTGTGTGACGGTGGATTCCTTCCCATCTTTGCCTCCAGTCCCTCCATCTCGTATGTCCCCAAGCTCATCCCCATGAGCAAACGTGAGCTCACCCCATGGCTGCATTAAGGCTTCCCTGTTGGCCCTTTAAAAAGGTATAAAAGTGGTGAAATATCTTCTATATAAATAAGAGAAGTGAGCAAGGCCTGCAGAACCTTGAGTTGGGACCAGGCAGAGCATATGGGGACTTGGGCTTGTTTCAAAGCACAGCCTCTGTTGTCCTATGGGGCTTTTCTGGCCGAGACCACCTGCCTACTAGGTGTGCCCACGCTCCCAGGAGGGGTCGTGTGGCCAAAGTCTTCCCTGCACATGGTGCTGTCCCAGCGCCCGGCAAGGAGCTTCCCCAAGCCTGAGACCTCACTCCCCGAGCATGTCCAGATGGGCAGCGCCTGCCTGCCCTGCTAGGAGATCTTGCAGTTGCTCCTGGAGCAGTTCTGGGGTGGACTCTGGGGGGGGCGGATGGACTTAGACCTCTTGAGGCTGTTGCCCTTGCTGCTGCCACCCCCCGCCCCACTGGCCAGCGAGTAGGAGCGCCCGTGCATCATGACGGCGTTCATGCCATTGGCCATCGAGAAGGACTTGAGGTGGCTCTTGATGGTGACAGGCAGCGGGAGCTTGTCAATGAGGTGCACAGGAGTGCAGGAGACGATGGCGCGGCAACAGAGGTCCTGCAGGCTGAACACTGTGGAGGGTGGTCAGAGAGGGGGAATCAGGTGACAAGGGTCAAACCATGGGGGGCAGGGAGGCAGTGGTGGGGAAGGTGTCAGGCAGGGGAGGATTAGACTACGGTGGGGGTCAGACCATGGGGAGGGCGGTCAGAAGATGGCGGGGGGGGGGTTCAGACTGGTGGGAAAGGGAATGAGGGGCCAAGAGATCTTGGAGCCTAAGGACCCAAGGTGGGGGAACACTGAGGAGCGAATTGTCATCTGTCCACATGAGCACAAATGATGCTCAGTGGGGGCTGGAGGTTTCCAGACCAGGATTCTGGATGCTCCACTACTCCACTTGGGGCCAGGCACCATTGGGAGCGGCCCGGGATGGCACCCTGCTCATGCTTTCTCCCTAGAGCTGCATACTAAGAAGTGTCCTTTGGGACCTCACTTCTGAGGGCTAGGCCAGCTCTGCCCTCAGCACCTCACAGGAGACTGAAATGCTCCCAGGGGCACTAGCTACCTCTGGCAGCTCTGGGGGGACGTGGCTCGAGCCTGAGGGACAGGGAAGTACACAAGGATGAGAAGCCATTCCCGTGCTTGCTCTGGGACACATTAGGGTTACAGCACCACCCCCAGCATGAGGGCATCATCATGATGCGATGCACAGCTCCCTTCCGTAATTCTGGGACTTTCAATCAAAGTACATGCAGGATGGAAGGTGGTTCAGCTGCGGTGCATTGTGGAAGTTCTACATCTGGGGAGCCCAGACACCTGGGAGGGACCATAACCTCTGAAGGGTCACCTGTCTCCGGCCTGCAACACTCAGGTCTCAGGCCCCAGCAGCCCCATTGGCTGCGTCTCACCTCGGTTGGGCCTCCAGATCTTCTCCATGCCATGTCGCATGAGCACGATACGGGACAGCTCAGTGAAGGACTCAGTGACATTGAAGTTGCACAACGGGCTGACCTCGAAGAAGGTCATGCAGTTCTTCTCTGCGTAGGCACGTGCCTGCTCTGTTGGAACTTGCCGCTTGAAGGCCAGGTGCAGTCGGTTCCCAACCAGGATCCGGGGGACCCCAGGTGCATGCTTCGGGGGGCAGAGGACTCAGCACAGGTATGAACACAGAATGCCCCCCCTCTTAGCTATCCCCATCCCCTGATTCTATGACAAGGTGGGGCTCACACCGAAGAGCCATGGTCCCTTGATGTATGAGACCCCAACCTTCAAGCACCATGGTGATCAGTTTAAGGAAGGATGCTCAGAGTTGGGGCCACAGGGCAGGCAGCAAATGGGAGCCACAGAGGCCCCAGTTAGAGATAGGAACACACGTGCCCTGGGAAGGGGGTGATCATGGAAGGGGGCGTCTGCAGGGATACCTACCTCATCAATCTCCTTGATCCACCGGTCAATGCCATCAAAGGACCAGCGGTTGGTGATGTCATACACCAGGAGGATCCCCTGCAATGAAGACCCAGATGTTACCAGGCTAACAGGCCAACCAGATGGGGACCTCTTGCTCTGTCATGGATCCCGAGCATGGACACACACCCTTACTCCTAGCAGAGGCAGGATAAGGACACTTGACACAGCCAGACCGCTTTCAGGAGATCGTATGGGTTACTTAACACGTGGCAGTGTAGACCACTCACTGTGAGGCATCCTGTCACATTTAAGGGGGGGGTCTCTGGTATTGGGCACTGTGTCTCCTCACTGTAGCCAGGCCCATGTGGCCCAGGACGCCCTCAAGTGGGATGGCAGCAATGTTGTCAACAGTCAGGGATGTCATAGGCTGAATGCTGCCTCCTCCCTCTCCATGGTGACCTGGCTGGGGCAGACCTGGCATCTTTTTCAACTTCTTTCCCCCAGGAACATCATAAGCATTATCCAGTGACCATTTAGAAGTCATTGGAGCTAAAAACAGGCGCAGGCAGATCTAGGGTGAGGGGTAGACCCTGTGGACAATCCTGGCAGGCAGATGTGGACAGTGTCCCTAACACTTTGTCCAACAGTGTACTCTGCGTTGGGGCACTAGGGGAGCTGAGGAAAGGTATTAAGAGTTCCAGCCCAAACTTGCAGTGCGGGACATCAGTCATTCCAGCAGCTGCATGTGCAGCCCCACCCGCCAGCAGAGGGTTTGCTATGGGACTTTTCTGTCACATCCCTTAGAGACTAATAACTCAGAACTCAGCTCTGGGCTGTCTCCATCTGCCCTGAATGTCTCAGCAATGACCTGTCACAGGCCTCAGAAAGAGGACTCCAGCAAGCATCCCCAGACCCCCACCCCGCCATTCTGGCCTGGCACTCTGCTCTGAAGCAGGCTCACACCTTCCCCATCCCACCGTCTTCATTCAGCCTGTCTCCATCACACACAGAGGCAGGAAAAAGGCGCAGCTGAGATGGAAGGCACAGGAAGTCTCCATATCAAAATGAGTGATTTCAAAGACCTTCCCCTTTAAAACATCCTTCAAATTTGGGAAGACTTAAGCATAGCCCCTGGGTCTTGTTAAGAAGAATGTAGCAATTACTTTAACACCCACCCAGTGGCTCCTGCTCTCTGGATGGAGAAGCTTGTACAGAACAAGTACAGCCACCTGCCGCCCCAGCAGGAAGGGCTTACACTTGAAAAAAAGGACCCCCTTGATCCCACGTGAAGAAGCAGAAACCAGCTTGGTGAAGATAGAGAGTAAAACTGGAAGGGAACGATGGTGTAGCATGAGTGAGTCCTGTTGCCTAGGGCACAGGAAACAAAGGCCTCTGGTCTGGGGTGGGTGGGGACATGCCGCCAACCCTCCAAATCTCCTCCTAAGAAATCACTGAGGATGTGTCCAGCCCTTGCAGATGTTCATCACAGCATGAAACAAACTACACGTGCAGTAAGGGGGCTGCTGAGTAAGTCAAGGTGCAGACATGCCTCACAGATGATGAAAGTGACAGTTGTGTACCTCAGAGCACCTGTGCCCCCCGGGCCGGTGCACCTCAGACTGCATGGTGGGAAGCACCAGCCCCAGACAGCGAGCACAGTGTGTGCTTTAAAACAGAAAGACAAACATTCCGCACACCATACAGAAAATGTTTCCAGGACATAACCACATTTTGAAAGGTTGGATGAGGGTTTATTTTCTTGCTTATGCTTACCTATGTAACATTTAAAAGCTTAAACTAGCTCTGGGCGGTGTGGCTCAGGTTATTGGTTTGATTCCCGGTCAGGGCATATGTCTAGGTTGCAGGCCCAGGTTCCCGGTTGCGGACATGCCAGAGGCAACCAATCTGTGTATTTCTTGCACATGGATGTTTCTCTTTCTCTCTCCCTCCCTTCCCATCTCTCTAAAATAAATAAATAGAATCTTAAAATAAAGGCTCAGGCTTCAGTCGCATCCTGGCTGCCTCTCTGGGCTGCCATTGCACCAGATCAGGATTATGATAGAGGAAGACCCCATCCCCCAACCCACCAATCACGGAAAGGAAGGATACAGAGCTCATCACATGCAACAGGGACCACAGTGATCATGGATTAGTAGCAGGGAAATCAAAATGAGGGTCTTAGTTACCAGAAGCACTCCCCCATGGGGGTTACTTGTGTGTCTCAGTGAGGCAGAAGGAGGGGGGCAAAGAGATTCTCATTATATTCTATTTTTTAAGTAATATAACGAATACATGCTCACATTTTAAAAAATTAGTATTCTTAGGGTATAAATAACAGCGCTCTCACTCCTCCAGTCCCCCCACCACTCCTCCAGGAATAACCTGCCATTGTTTCTTGACATTCCTTTTTTTTTTTTTTTTTTTTTTTAAGATTTCATTTATTTATTTTTAGAGAGAGTGGAAGGGAAGAAGGGAGAGAAACACTAGTGTGTGGTTTCCTCTTGCGCGCCCCCTACTGGGAACCTGTACCACAACTTAGGCATATGCCCTGACTGGGGATGGAATTGAACCAGCAATCCTTTGGTTCACAGGCTGCTCAATCCACTGAGCCACAACAGCCAGCACTGTTTCTTGACATTTCTGCACAGTGCTACTCATTCCTAGCACAGAGAGGTCACAGAGCAAAACGCCCAGCCCCTCCTGCACCCCAGAGGTAAACCTCCTGCCAAGCTCGTCAATCAGTGCCGCTTTTGGCTCTCAGGTAATTTCACCTTATTTTAATATAAATCTCTGAGAATACAGAGCGTGACCTGTAAGAATTAGAATTGCTGGGCCTCGCAGTGGGTACCCTTCCTGTCAAAGTTATTTATCAAGCTATAGCTTATAGACCTGAAATGTATAGATCTGAAGTATGAACAGTTTGATGAGTTTGGACAAATATATATACACCTATGCAGCCACCACCCCAACCAAGGTAGAGAGGTTCAGTTTTTTGGTGGTGGTGTTGTTTTAAGATTTTATTTATTTATTTTTAGAAGGGAGAGAGAAAGAGAAATACTGGCCTGCAACCCAGGCATGTGCCCTGACCAGGAATCGAACCTGCGACCTTTTGGTTCGCAGGCTGGCGCTCAATCCACTGAGCCACACCAGCCAGAGCAAGAGAGGTGCGTTTTTTAAAAATTCAATTGTTTTGGCATGTGTCTTGTATGATAGAGCTTCCAAGGAATACAGGCTGTGCATGGAAGCCCCTGTCCCACTCCACAAACACCTAGCCTCTGCCCAGAGGCAAAGGACGACGCACTGAAAGTGAGGAATAACTGTCAAATGGTCCCTGACCCATACACCTACCTACCTGGTCAGTGACGAGATGCATGCTGGTGTCCTAATTAGCACTCGCTGAATGGTAACTGCATACCCCAGACCATTTTCCATGTGAAACCCCTTTTTTGTGTGAACAAGTTGATCCCTCTCTATTCCGAAGGAGACCAGAGCCTGGCCTGCTCTTCCAGCTCCCCCCAAACTCTCAACTAAGCAGGATGTGCCACCCCCTATGCACCCTGCCTCCAGCTCTCTCAGCACAGGGCCCAGGGAACCTGTTCTCTTCAGCAGCAGAGGCTCTGGCCTCCCAGGGCCAGGAGTGGCCATCTTGGACCTCAGCAACAGAAAACAAGGGCCATGGGTCTAAAAGGTTGGGGACAAAAGGGTTATTTCTCATGGTAATAACCACAAGAGAGTCCTGTTGCTGAACAGGTGACAGCAATCAGGAGTTGGCAGTAGATTTTGTGACCTGGGCCCTGAGGGACCTGTAAGATCTCTCTAGTCTTAACCAACAGTAGGAGAGTGACCAGAAATATAAAACGACTGGGAAAGCCAGTCCTGCTACTCAGCGTACCATCAGGGGGCATACAGAGCAGCAAAACTGGGCAGTGCTTACTCTCCTGTGCAGTTTTGGAAACTGCCTTCACATCTGGATACTGCCTTCACATCTGCACTGCCACCATCAGGCAGGAGAGAAATAGGGCAGCAATGGCATTGAGATAAGAGCACCCCGGGGCAGCCTTGAGCGCAGAGCCCACTACTCACCACTCAGGCCCAAGATGTGCAACTGGCTCCTTCAGTCCAGAATCAACAAAAACCTCCAGAACTAAAGCAAGAGCAACAACAAACACAACCGACTGGAATGGACACTTTGGAGAGAACAAGGATGTGATGACACCGTGTTTGCTTCCCCAAAACACTCACACAGGTGTGTCCGACCTGCGGCCCATGGGCCACATGCCACCCAGGATGGCCATGATGCAGCCCAACACAAAAATCATAAATTTACTTAAAACATTATGAGGTGGGTTTTTTTTTTTGGTGATTACATGTTGCAGTGTATTTAACATGTGGCCCAAGATAACTCTTCTTTTTCCACTCTGGCCCAGTGATGCCAAAAGGCTAGACACTGCTGTTTTGGCAAACCCCCAAGCTTGTTAGGCGTCCTTAATTAGCTTAACACAAACAAATGTCTGTGGTCTGTTCCACATTTGAACCCAGTGTGCACAGAACAGCCGAGTTCTCTCTGGGTTGATCTCAGTGTCTTCTTGATGTTTCCCAATCGCCTTTCATTACTATCCCGTTATCTCTTCATTTTCTTTCTTATTACAAAAGTCATATATGTTTATTGTAGAATAATTAGGAGATATTCAAAAGCAAAAGGAGGACAACAGAACTCAAGTCACCATGCTGTTTGGGGTAACCAACGCTGCCATTTGGAACACAGCTTTACCATCCTATATGTATAAAATCTTTTTTTTTTTAAGTCCTTATCCAAGGATATATTTATTTATTTGAGAGCAAGAGAGAGGCAGGGAAAGAGAAAGAGAAAGAGAGAAACACTGATGTGAGAGAGAAACATTGATTGGCTGCCTCCTGTATGTACCCCAACCAGGGAATGAACCCACCACCTTTTGGTGTACAGGATGATGCTCCAACCAACTGAACCACCTTGCCAGGGCTGTAGTCACTTCTTAAAAACAAAACAGAAAAAAACAAAAAAAAACCCAACAACAAACCAACGGGACCCATGGGACATGCTCATCTGAAGGGCACTGGGCTCTGCAGTTCTTGCTACTTACCCCCACCTCTGGTGCTGATGCGGGGTGCTGACAAACGCCTCCAAGCTGTGATCCACATGCGGATCATTTAGGGTCAGCTACTCCAGGTGGAACTGTTGGGTGAATCACCACCCCTGCAGGACCCCCAACACCACCACATACTAGGGGGACCATCAAGCCAGGGCTCCAGGTGCCACCATGCACAACTCTGCAGGAACTCCCAGGACAAGAGCTACTAAGCCCAGGCTGGGGGTCCTCGGCACCCCATTTAGCAGAGAAGAAGGCCACATTCAGCTTCTCCCTGCCTCCCATCATGTCTGAAAGGCCCCTAATAAGGAAGGTCCTGGAGGAAGATGCGGGTCAGAGGCCCCAACTTCACTCCCTCTTGGCCTCCTCAGGTCTCATGCAGCAGAAAGATCAGCAGGATCGCAGAGTGCCAAGGCAGCTGCAGACTTCATCAATCCCGACTGACAAAACAAAAAGGTTACCCCACAGGGCTCCCCATGAGCCCAAACCAGAGAGAGGGGGTGACAGGAAGCCCCATCTCTTGCTGAGTGCAGACCCACCTGGAGCCATGCCCCACACAGCGAGGAGCCCCAAACCATGCCCAAGTGCCCTGTCTAACATGAGTATATGCTGCTCCTGGTAGAGAACTCTGCCCAGTGTATAGAGTAGAGCTGGGCAGGTCTGAACTTGGGGTCTCTGGCAATTCCAGAAGTCTGAGGGCGCCATGGCCTGCTCTACATTACAGACAGGACTGATCAGACCCCTCACAATGACACAGAAGCAACAGCCCATAGCTGGCCTGTTCATGCAACTACTTCTCCCCTCTCCTTCGAGCCTGGAGTCACGCACTGATCCACTCAGCAGGCAAGCATGCTCAGGGAGCCCAGAGGACACAGAGGTGCGAGTGAGCCCTCACAGTCTCCCCTAGTGTGCCCCCGCACGTTCCCCCCAGAATGCCCCTGTACAGCTTCCACGGTGCCCTCCCACCCCTGCACACCCACCCAAACTTGGGTGCACTTCCACTGCATCCCTGGGATAGCCCCCATCTTCTGCTCTTTGCTAACGCCGTGCCTCTATGAGCAGCCCCTCCTACAGTGGCTCCAATACTTAGTCCCAACAGTCCTGATCAGAAATCCAGCCCAGCCCGTCCCCGAGACAGACCTGGCTGCCCCAGCAGGCTCCTCACTCTACACATGGAGGTCCTGGGTGACCAGGAAGTCACTTTGGGTTCCTGGTGAACCAGTTGACCAAGTGGTGTCCCCACAGTACAGGGTCTCAGCACTGGCCACAGGAACACAAATCTGGTGGGGGTACAGAGCAGAAACACAGTATGGGGACACGGGGACCTGGTGCCCTCTGACAGCAGTGGCCCCTCACTCAGAAGGCAGCCTAGTGGAAGCCTGATGTCCCAACATCAAAACTTCTCAGAGTCTGGTGGGGTCTGCAGGCACAGAAACATGACCTGTCCTCTGGAGAGCAGCACCGGCAGTGTCGCTGGTCTTACCTGTGCACCCCTGGAGTAGGACCTGAAGATGGTGCAGAACCTGCCCTGTCCCGACGTGTCCCTGAAACACAGGAAGAGTCAGTGAGAGGCGGCCTGTGGAACCACGGCATGCGCAGCATGATCCCTGCAAGGTGCTCTCCCTCCTCCTCCACAGCTTACACTGGCCAACCTTGGTGGGCCTGAGCGCCCTGGGAGACCACTCTGTCAGGCTGGAGAACTCCAAACCTATGGGATTCTACATGTAGATTTCAAGGTTCTGGAAAACGCTCCTTAATGTGTATTCCAGTAAAGGGCGAAGGGAGAGGAGCCCTGGCTACAGAGGAAATGAGTCTTTATGGGCAAAGGGAGCTGGGCTGTATCAAAACAAACAGCCCGGGACCTTTTGGTTTCTGCACCATGGAGCAGAATCCACTCCATACTTACACAGGATCTCTTTAAATAGCTATTCCACGTAAAATGTAAACAGGACTCCTACCTTCCTGTTCCTTTAAGGATTCTTGACTTGCTTCATTTAGCTTCCAAGGCTCTAGCAATAACTCTGAAGTGCTGTAGCCTCCCACCCCAAGGCACCGCAACCCCACACAGCCTAGCTCACCAGAGCTCCAGCTTGACCCGTCGGCCGTCCAGCAGGATGGTAGTCGTCTTGTAGTCGATCCCTGCAAGGAAGCAAAGAGTGGCTGGAGGTGGTACCTGGAGACGAGCCTGCCAGGATCCACATCACCAGGGTTCAGCTTCTACAGCGGAGTCGATGGAGGGGCATTTTATCCCCCGCTGGAGCCTTTCTGTGGCTCCAGCCCAGGAAACCAGGCCTGCTGGGCACCACAGCACCGGTTGAAGGGAGGGCGGCACAGGAGTGGAGTCCGGCAGGCTCATCTCCAATTGACCTGCTTTGTGTAGATCTCAAGTCAAGGCATTTCTGAGATCTTGGGTTCACCACAGCCCTCAGATACTGACACTTGGAGTGTGCCTGGGGCATTATTAGGGGTAATTTCTAAAGTGTCATTTCTCCAGAGAGCTGCCTGCAGAACCTATGCATGCCATATCTTTAGTTTTTATTTTTTTACACTTTTATGGGAAAAAAGTCAGTCCAAGAGAAGTTGGTAGGATTAGTGCTGGATATGTTACCTAATGTGTAAGATCTTCAACTGGTTTATGGGACCGTCCAGAAACTTCCTAAAGGCTCAGTGTTTCCTCCTCCATTCTTAAGCTTTAAAAAGGTCATCAGTTTCATGATTTTTTGTAACATTTGCTCCAAAAGGGCTTAGAAATGGTCATTTTAACATAGGTGTTTCTCTCACAGAGTGCGTGTGCATGTGTGTGCGCAAGCTGACCTCAGATTCTGCACATAGCATGCTCCCAGGGCCTCAGGCATCTGTGCCTCTACCCCCGCTGTGCTTCTGCCTGGCCACCTCCTAACTACAAGTCAAAACCTGGCTCCCATGCCCCAAATGACACTCAACAGAAGGAAAATGCAACCCATGAAATAAGAGAAAGTATTTGGAAGTCACATATTTGACAAGGGATTGTTATCCAGAATATATAAAGAAATCCTACAATTCAACAACAAAAACCCAATTAAAAATGGGCAACAGGCTAGAAGAGACACTTCTCCAAAGAAGATAGACAAATGACCACAAACACATGAAAAGATGCTCAACACCACTGAATATCAGAAAACTGCAAATCAAACCACAGTGAGAGATCACCTCATACTCACTGGATGGTCCTTATTAAGGAGAACAGAAAATGACAAAGGTTGGTAAGGAAGAGGAGAAATTAGAATCCTTGTGCACCACTGCTGGGAATGTAAAATGATGCAGTCACTATGGAAAATAGTATGGCAGTTCCTCAAAGAATTAAAAACAGAATTACCATACGATCCAGAAATTCCACTTCTGGGTTAATGGCCAAAAGAAATGAGAACAGGAAATCAAACATGTATGTATTTGTACACCTGGGTTCATAGCAGTATTATTCACAATAATCAAAGGTGGAAACAACCCAGTTCCCATTGAGGGATGAATGGATTAACAAAACGGTCTATTCATACAATGGATAACAGTTCAGCCTTAAAAAGGGATGCAATTCTGACACAAGCCATAACATGGCTGAACCCTGAGGATATTATGCTCAGAGATATAAGCCAGTCACAGAAGAGCAAATGCTGTGTGATTCCACTTCTATGAGGTCCCTAGAGTAGTCAGTTTCACAGAGACAGAAAAGTAGATCAGAGGTTACCAGGGGCTGAGGGGAGTCAGTATATTTGTTTAAAGATTTTAATTTGTTTAAAGATTTTAATTACTTATTTTTAGAGGGAGGGGAAGGGAAGGAGAAAGAGAGGAAGAGAAACATTGTTGTGAAAGAGATACTTCTATCAGTTGCCTCTCACATGTGCCCTGACCAGGGACTAAAACTGCACCCCAAGCGCGTGCCCTGACCGGGAATCGAACTGGGGACCCGTGGCTTTGAGGAACAATGCCCAACCACTGAGCCACACCAGTCAGGGCTGGGAGTCAATGTTTAACGAAGAGAGTGTTTCAGTTTGGGAAGATAAAAAATTCTGGAGATGGATGGTGGTGACAAGTCATACAACAGTGTAAATGTACTTATACCTCTGACCTGCACACCTAAAAATAATTAAAATGGTAAATTTCACATTATGTGTATTTTGCCACAATATTTTTTTTTAAAGTGAGAGAAGATTCTCTTGCACATAGTCTCATGTGAAAGAACTATTCTTCAGGAAGAAACAAAACTCTGGCCTCTCTCTACCGTACCTCCTCTGCATTTGCCATTCCCCCAGCTCTCATCTGTTGATAACCAGCTTCTTTGGGTGGAAGCTCCCCGAATTCTGTCAAACAGGAAGCACAGATTTGACCCAGGAATCGCCTCCTCTTGGTCCTGTCTTTACAGCTGTTGTGAGATGGACCCTATGAGGGTAATTTCCAGGAAGACTGTGGTGTAGAAGCCCATCCTCTAGGCAACATCAGATCTGCCTCCCTGTGGCAGAACAGCCCCCGAGGCTCAGGCCTTGGGAACAGGACACTGACTGCTCTACTCCACTCCCCCAGGCCAGCCCCCTTGAAAGGAGCTGCTCTGCAGCCAAGCAGCCCAAAGGTGGCACTGTGGCCCAGTGGCCCAGGAGGAACTGCAGGGAAGAAGGGGAACCCAGGAAGGACTCAGGTGGAAACAGAGTCCTGGGAGATGGCTCCACCCTCCACCCACCTCTGAGCTCCCTCCCATAACCCACATCGTAAATGTGTGTCCTGGGCACCTTGCTGACCCATCTGTCTGAGTTCCACCCAGGACAACAGGACGTGAACTTTGGTCGGAGTCAGAAAGGAAACCCAGTCCATGCTCTCCAGCAGCTCTGTTCAACGCTGTGCCAAACACACACGTTGACCTGTGGGGATCAGCGACTCAGAGCTGGGAACTGGTAACAAGATGGGGCCGCTGTCCTCCTGACATCCTTCCTGCTGCACAGCTCCCCCCCTAGCACTGGTCAGAGGGCTCATTGCAGAACAAGATTTTTCAGAGGAGAAACACCGCACAGGAGAAACTGGAGTTCAGTGGGATGGATGAGCAACGTCACCACTGAAGTGATTTAGACTTACAGACAGTGACTGTGCTCTCTGGAGCCCTCTGCTGCTGGCCTTGGCTTCCAGGAGAGGTGGCCCCCATGCCTGGCGCCAGCATAAGCACTCCCAGGAAGGCTGAACACCCGGGTGAGAGGACTAAGGAAAGTGGGCAGTAGGTCCCTGAAGGAGGGAGCAGGGGCCAGCTGAGAGCTGAGGATGGCCCCAGAGCCAAGAGGTCTAAAGGGGAAGGAATGGTGGGGAAATGGTGTGGGTGGAGAACCCGCTGGCTGACACACTCACTTTGATATCAAAAAATTCAATTTCAAAGATATTCTTCATGCTTACTCTGCCCCTCACCTTGCCAAATCCCAAACCTGGATAAAAACTCTTTTTTTATTATATTGTATCACTTATGGTATCACAGTTATCCCAATTTTTCTCCTTTTGCCCCTCTCCTCCCAGCACCCCCACTCCCTAGGCAATCCTCACACCACTATTCATGTCCACGGGCCATGTGTTTAAGTTCGTTGGCTACTCCATTTCCTATACTGTACTTTACATCCCCATGGCTATTCTGTAGCTACCAATTTGTACTTGTTTAAAACATTTCATTTATTTATTTTTCGAGATAGGGGAAGGGAGGGAGAAAGAGGAAGAGAAACATAGACTGGTTGCCTCTTGCATGCCTCCAGCTGGGGGCTTGGCTCACAATCCAGGCATGTGCCCTGACTGGGAATTGAACCAGTGACCCTTCAGTTCACAGACCTGCACTCAATATATGGAGCCACACCAGCTGGGGCTATTTGTACTTCTTAATCCCGGACCTCTCTATCCAGTCCCCCACCCCCTGCATCTGAAAACCATCAAAAGACTCTCCATATTCATTATTCTGTCCCTGTTCTTCTTGTTTGCTTAGTTTGTTTTTTACATTCAATTGTTGATAGATATGTATTTATTGCCATTTTATTATATTATTCATAATTTTGCTCTTTTTCTTAAGTCAGTCCCTTTGACATTTCATATAATAATGGTTTGGTGATGATGAACTCCTTTAGTTTTTTCTTGTCTGGGAAACTCTTTATCTGCCCTTTGATTCTAAATGATAGCTTTGCTGGATAGAGCAATCTTGGCTGTAGGTCCTTGCTTTTCACGACTTTGAATATTGCTGGCCAACCCCTGATAGCCTGCAAAGTTTCTTTTGAGAAATCAGCTGACAGTCTTATGGGAACTCCCCTGTAGGTAACTAATTGCTTTTCTCTTGCTGCTTTTAAGATTCTTTTTATCTTTGGCATTTTAATTATGAGGTGTCTTGGAGTGGTCCTCTCTGCATCCATCTTGTGTGGGACTCTCTGTGCTTCCTGGACTTGCATATCTACTTTCATCACCAAATTAAGGAAGGTTTTTTTTCATTATTTTTCAAATAGATTTCCAATTTTTTGCTCTTTCTCTTCTCCTTCTGGCACCCCTATGATGCAAATGTTGGAATGCTTGAAGTTGTCCCAGAGGCTGCTTACACTATCTTCATTTTTGGGGGTTCTTTTTTCTTCTTGTTGCTCTGTGTGGTTGTTTTTTGCTTCTTTATGTTCCAAATCATTAATTTGATTCTCCGTTTCATCTGCTCTACTGTTATTTCCCTATAAATTCTTATTTCAATTGGTGCACCCTTCATTTCTGACTGGGTCTTTTTTATGCTGTGGAGGTCCTCAGTATGTTCCTCAAGCATCCTAATAACCAGTGTTTTGAACTCTGCTTCTGACAGACTGCTTATCTCCATTTCGTGTAGCTCTTTTTCTGGAGCTTTGATCTGTTCTTTCATTTGGGCCATTATTCTCCTCATTTTGGCAGACTCCCTGTGTTTGTTTCTGTGTATTAGGTAGAGCTGCTTTGACTCAGCATCTTGGTAGCATGGCCTAAGGTAGTAGGTGTCCTCTAGGGTCTAATGGTACAGCCTCTCCTATCACCCAAGCTGGGTACTTGAAGTGCACCCTTCATATGGGCTAAACGCACTCTCCTCCTGTAGCTAAGCTTTGGTTCCAGTTGGCAGGTCAATGGGAGGAATTTACCCAGGCCAGTCAGCT